AATGGAGACCAATTTTAAAGTTATATTTGTCTGAATCCATGTCTCACTTAATGCTAAGAGTATGAAATTTTAAGTTATTCATGTATACCTATGTTAAAGGGAAGTTACATATAAGAATTGGAGTTTAAAACAGATGGAGATTTAAAACAACTTAGGAGGTTTCCTAATGCTCAATTTAAATATATTCTTTGTTTTTCTTTTTTTTAAGATTTATTTATTTATTTGAAAGGCAGAGTTACAGAAAGGCAAAGAGAGAGAGAGAGAGAGAGAGAGAGAGAGAGAGACTTCCGTCCATTGGTTCACTCCCCAGAGGCAGCAAGGGCCAGGAGCCAGGAGCTTCTTCCGGGAGTCCCACGTGGGTGCAGGAGCCCAAGGACTTGTGCCATTTTCCACTGCTTTCCCAGGCCACAGCAGAGAGCTGGGTGGGTAATGTAGCAGCCAAGACTTGAACCAGTGCCCATATAGGATGCTGGCACTGCAAGTGGCAGCTTTATCCACTATACCAAAGCACCGGTCCCTAAGAGAATTTCAGATCCAGAGCATCCAAACCACTTTTACAGCGCATGCCATTTTTTACTGTTCTTGGAAATACAAGCCCTAGTTAATATGCATAATTTTTGGAACTGGCTGTAAGGGATAATATCAAGGATTGTGAAGAACATTGTATGTGGACATGGAAACATTGTAGAATGTGCTAAAGGATGGAGGGAGAAAATCTAAGAACTTATCAGACTATGAAAACTAAAGGAGTTCATATTACAAAGAGATTTCATAGCAAAAACTCGGAGTCTTACATTGAGTGATCACCCAGTAATCATCGCTGATGTGTCAAAGTGATAGTTTAAATAACATCACCATACTAATATTTGTCTCAGAGAAATTTCCTTCTTAACATTTTTCTTCTTCAACCTTAGGCTGGCATTCAGATAAATGTTAAGAGCAAGCTACATTCCCTGAATCCTCAGGGCCTATTGAGACTTCTGCATGCATGATCACATTTATTGTCTTCCTAAGTACCTCTGTTATGCATTTATTAAACATCTCATAAGAACAAATTATCCTTCCTATTTTTATAAGTGAGCAGATCCACAAAGAATAGTTTTGGCCTACCAACAGAAAGCATTATCTATTCTATGCCTTGTAGAAAGGGATAATCAGATATTGTCCTCTCCCAGAATTTGTACTAATACACAATATATCAAGCCCAGCTATCTTAGTAACGCCTAGGCCTTGAATATGCCTACTGCCCCCATCTCCATATTGCCTGCCTCAGAGATGAAGAAATATCAGCTCATAATATTCAACTACTCTGGTCCTCATCATGCCAAGGGTGGAGCTGTCACACTGGTTCTGTCTTAAACTCCAATTACTATGTTTTCCCTGAAAAACTGATAAACTAAGTGTGTGATGTAGAACTGCACCAATGCAAATTCAAACAATATGAAACACCAGTAAGGCTGATTGTCTTAGAACGAATGGTTGTTACGTAATACTCTGCATCAGGTTTTCCTATCCACATATATTTTTGGATAACGATATATTTAGAAATGAACCAGAAACCAAAGACCAACAATAGCAAATGTACAGTAGGGAAAACAACATAAATCTTCTTCTGTTATCCAATACTAATTATGTTTTTTGTCTCAAAAGTAAAAAGATACCTGGAAAGAGGAATATAGCTTATTTTAATAGGTATAAATTCATTCAATATACGTATATGTGTGTATATATATGTAAGTACATGAATGTAAACTGTACACATAAAATAATCAGATGATCTGGACGTAACTAAAATAGATGACACAAACAACAGCAAGTTATTGATAAATTATCCTCAAAACCTCTTAGCTTTTTATACTAAAACATATTTCAATCCATTGTGCATCCAACACTAGTTTCGTTATTTTTGGCTGCTAAACTCAAAATATAAGGGAAATAGATCTATACCCTTCATGGTAATGTTTCCATAGGACCAATAAACTCTGCATTTTGATAAAAACACATTTTTATAGTGAACTGTAAGAATGTGAATACAAAGTAAAAGACTTCTAAGGCCTGATGAATGAAAATGCCATGCCACGTGAGAGACATTGAGTGAAGAGAGGAAACTGTTCACAAATGTAGGACTAAACGCTAGCTAATCCTAACATGTGGAAGAACAGTATGTATTTGGCTGCTGTGCTGATGTGTACATGAGATTTTATATAAAGTTCAAGATTTAGAACGTTTATTATATTATTTATATTATTTTGAAATATTTGTAATACTTTTCTGCATAAAGTAACATGATTAATGTTGACATTAACCTTTGTATCATTATATACTTTTATATCAATATCTGAATTCTCAATGGTAGTGAAAATATGTAAGAAATATCAAAAATAACTAGCTTTATAATTTTCATTATGATCTAGTTGATCAATTGCTTCAAGAATAATTAAAGATTATCACAATTAAAACATTGCAGGGTAATTTTATTTCATCTCTCAATTTATATGACATAAGTTTATCACTGTAACAATGATTTGGGTAAAGACATAGTTATCCATGGGGCCAGCGCAGTGGTGCAGTAGGTAAATCCTCCACCTGTGGCTCCTGCATCCCATATATATGGGCACCAGTTCTAGTCCCGGCTGCTCCTCTTCCCATCCAGTTATCTGCTGTGGCCTGGGAAAGCAGTAGAAGATGGCCCAAGTGCTTGGGCCCCTGCATCCACGGAAGAAGCTCTTGGCTCCTGGCTTTGGATCAGCGCAGCTCCAGCCATTGCAGCCAAATGGGGAGTGAAACAGCGGATGGAAGCCTTTCTCTCTGTCTCTCCCTCTCATTGTCTGTAACTCTACCTCTCCAATAAATAAATAAGAAATCTTTAAAAAAAAGACATAGTTATCTTTATATTAAAATATCATCAAGTTTCATAAAATTTAGTTACTTATACTTGTAAAGACATGAAATGTATTTATCACTTCTCTGTAACTTGATTGTGCACTTTATTGTTTCTTAATTTTTTTTTTCTGTATATGAATGTCCATGGCAGCTTTATTGTAATAAATGATAACCAAAACAAGAAACAAAACAAACAAACAAACAAAAAACCCCAAAGATCCATCAGATCCATCAACTAGTGAATTTAAAAATATTGTGGTGCTTTCACACAATGAAACTTGACTTGACAATAAAAGGAATGAACTATCGATATTTGCTATAACATGTATGTACCTCAAAATAAGTATGCTGAGTGAAAGAAGCCAAACAAAAGAGAGTGCATACTGAATGATCCTATTTATATTAACTTCTAGAACATGCAATGGCATCCTACGTAGGTGCTGGTTCGAGTCCGGGCTGCTCCACCTCTGATTCAGCTCTGCTATGGTTTGGGAAAGCAGGAAAAGATAGCCTAAGTTCTTGGGCCCCTGCACTCATGTGGGAGACCCTGAAGAAGCTCCTGGCTCCTGGCTCCTGACTCCTGGCTCCTGGCTCCTGGCTCCTGGCTCCTGGAATCGGATCAGCCCATTTCTGGCCGTCATGGCCATCTGGGGAGTGAACCAGCAGATTGTAGACTCTCTCTCCCTCTTTCTCTCTCTTTCTCTCTCTCTCTCTGTGTGTGTGTGTGTGTCTGCTTCTGCCTCTATGAAACTATGACTTTTAAATAAATAAATAAATCTTTACAAATAAATTTAAAAAATAGAATTAACTTCAAATATTTTTGGATCACTATCACACAGTGTAGTTAAACTCTCATTACTATCCATCCAAATGTACAGATGACATGCAGAATACACAACTCACACAGCGACAAAATCTAGAAACAATAACAAGTACTTTAAAAAAATAGCAATAATTGTATTTAAGTAAATATATCTGAAAATTTCTGAGCTATCATATATGTTTTCATATATTACCAAATTACCAAATACTTCAATAATCATACAATATTTCTAAATGTTTATCTTTACCAGATGGAAGTGAGAACAAATATAAATTATAACTGGGTTGTAATTACTGGGTTGTCAATTATTAGTCATCTTGAATAAAAGTAATTTCTCCTTTATGAAAATTCTTGGTTTTATAAATTATGGAATGACTTTCAGAAAACAGTGCAAAATATGTGACCTTTAATTATAATAAAATAATTAACATAGAATTACACAAAAAACCCATGTGCATGTTTTAATTATCTATTCCTCTTAACTATCAGATTAATACAGGATTGAACATTGAAGTCACCTTTAAACAGAGTAGAAAAAATATTTTTTGAAACAGTAGATGTAGCACACTAAGGAAGAATGGCTTTAAAGTAATCCAAATTCTTACACTTAACCACTCCAGCAGGCTGATACAATACAACACATTTGACCTACTAAAGTTATTATTTTTGTTTTCTTTTAGGTAAAAATATGTGATAATTGCATAAATAAAGTCAGTGTCATTTATGTACTAAAATAATTAGAATTTTGTCATAAATTATAATATAGATAGAATACATTTAGAATTTTTACTTGGTGCTAGATTTATCTGTAATTTTAAATTGTGGGATGTTTAAAAAATTTGCATAAATTTTTTCGAAACGAACAGTATTTTGTTTCAAATTAGTTTGTATTCCTACATTGATCTCATTCAGTTCTTAAACTTCTGCAACTTGTTTATCCCTACACCTTCCTGGCAGCTTAGCCCTAGACATGCTCTGAGCCAGTCCTCACCAACACATTTATATGAGGTAACAAAAAGAATTTATAGGTTCAACAATGTCCTGTGATAACTGTTGTGCCCAGATTGTCGGTACCCAAATGCAACCAGAGACTTGAACACACCGAAATGCAAGATCAAGGTTTATTTCGGAAGTACAAGCCGTGGCAGGGACCCCATCTACTCAACCGCGCAGCAGAGGGCAGAGGAAGGCCCTGAGCCATGCTTGGAGCCTCTTTTAAAGCCGGGTTACGTCAACGAGGGGTGGGGGTGACAGTGGATTGGCTGGGGTCACCTCTGGTACTTCCTGATCTAACATGGTTGTTCCTGATTGGGTCAGACCCAGTGGATTTCCTTATATGGTGAACACTACCAAGCTGTTCCCTTGTAAGTTTCGGTTTCCCCAGAGAGAGGCTGCTTTTACGGGAAGTTGGGCCTGCCTCTCCGGATAGAGGCACTTTTTCTAAACAGTTACTCCAGCCCTTCAATAACCATGCTTACCTGTGGGTTAGGCCCTATTTTTGGATTTCAATTTAAAAATTCATTTCAGAAACTATTTCTGTGTGATTGTCAACTGAACACCTATGTTCCTAATGTTACCATTAAAAGAAGTCAATTTGGAAATATGAAGCTGTGAATTTGTGATTATTTGTAAATTTTGAAGCAAATAGCCAATTTTTTTTTATTTTTATAAACTGGGTTCTAATTCACATATTAGCATATTTATTCCAGTTTTCATCAGTCATTTCATTAGATAAAAGGAAAATCTTCATTAATATGAGCAAGATAGTCTCTATGTTTTGGTGTAATTGTCTGTGATTTACATTATTTTATTTATAGAATCTCATGTAGTAAATTTTATTGATTCCATTATATATAAAAATAATGAGAGGAATGTGTGTGTATGTGTGTGTGTGTGTGTGTTTGCTGCCCTTTAAGGAGAGAAATTCAATGTCATTATCTATCATGTGATTCTGTACTCGACAGGTGTGTTTAAAGATTTGGCTACATAATTCTTCTCAAAATGCTCCAAGAAAGCATAGCCAGGTGGCATATGCCACATCATATACACATTATGATGCCCTTCAGCATTTAAAAAAGAAAACGTATCATCTTTGAACTTCATCATATTGGAAAATATCTAGATTAATATACACACTAAGAACCAAATAAGAAAGAAACAATTGAAGACATCATCACACAGAAGTAGTAAATCATTCTGACACGGCAAAACTAAATATTATAAATACAAAGTATTGCAAGGATAATTATTTTTAAAATGCACTCTAATTTTTCCCCTTCAGGCAGAAAATTTCTCATTACTTGTACTAAGTTCCTCTGTTAAAATATTAAGTATGAGATTATATGTAAAATAAAATATGTCTTTCAGATGGATAGCAAATTTTTAAAAGTAATCAGTTATTTATGTCTGTCTTTTCAGTACAATATGAAAATCTGAAGGGTGAGGAATAATTAATTTACTTATTTAATGGACCTTGTATCTATTGTATTTATTTAAAGGAGTTATATATATATATATATATATATGTATATATGTATATTTTTTCTTTCTTTCTTTTTCTTTCTTTTTTAAGATTTAAGATTTCTTTTTAAAATTTATGTGATTATTTGAAAGTCAGGGTCACAGAAAGGAGAAACACAGAGAGAGAGAGAGAGAGATCGTCCATCAGTGGGTTCACTCCCCAAATGGCTACAATACCTGGACCTAAGCCTGTCTGAAGCCAGGATCCAGGAGCTTCCTCTGTGTCCCCCATGTGGATTCAGAGGCCCACTGCAGATGGCGGCTTAACCTGCTTCACCGCAGCCTCAGCCCTGAGTGGCATATATTTTTAATATGACTGTAAAATGAAAAAGCAAGAAAGCTGTTTTATTTGTTAGAATGTGTATATTTGTCAGCTTGACACACCCAACATATATTGATATCATGCTTAAATTTACATGTATCACTAAGTGAGAATGGGAGTAAAGCATTTTATTACAATTTGAATAATGTGCAATCACATCCTTGCAAAATTGTTAAAATTTTTTATGTTTGTATAAAATGATTTATTTCAGCATTTTTCCAAGTGACAGACCTAACCCTCAAGCTGATATGATAAAGAACATTTCTTTAACAAACTAAATATGCACGTATTTTGGTCAACAGAAATAATGTCCAAATGATTTTGTGGAAGAAATTTCAAATATGGCTAAAATGTAGTTGTTGTAGCTGGATGGAGTACTAGAAATAGAGTTTCTACTTTTTAAAACATTGCTAAATCTAGACTTTACACAATTCATAACTCATTTTAATCTTGTCTTTATCCATCATCATCAACAGAATAATGGCTCCTCGAAGATGCTTACGCCTTCATCCCAGGTCCCTGTGAATGTATCACGTTGCATGCTGAAGCAGAACTGAAGTTGTATATGGAATTAAGTTTGCTTATAAACTGTCATTAACAAGGGGACTTTTCCTGCATTATGTGAGTTCAGTGTAATCACTGGGGCCTTTAAAAATGGAAGTGAAATGGACACTATGAGAAACAGTGACTTGATCAGCTCTTGTCCTGACTGTTGATGTACAATGTAATACTTTATCCATTTTAGTATTTTCTCTTTGTTTTGTTCTAGTACTATTGGTTGAACTCTGTAATTAACACACAATTATTCTTAGGTGTTAAAATTTTAACTGAAAAGTGATCCCTGTTAAATATAAGAGTGGGAATAAGAGAGGGAGGAGATGTACAATTTGGGACATGCTCAATCTGACTTGCCCCAAATGGTGGAATTATAATCATGCCAGGGGATCCCAATACAATCCCATCAAGGTGGTATGTACCAATGCCATCTCACTATTCCAAGTGATCAATTTCAGTTCACAACTGATCACACTGATAGGTCTAAGAGTCAAAGGGATCACACAAACAAGACTAGTGTATGCTAATACTAACTGATAGAATCAAAAAGGGAGAGAACGATCCAAGGTGGGAAGTGAGATACACAGCAGACTCATAGAATGGCAGATGTCCTAAATAGCACTCTGACCTCAGAATCAGCCCTGAAGGCATTCGGATGTGGCTGAAGAGCCCATGAGAGTATTTTAGGCATGGAAAGCCAAGACACTCTGGCAAGAAAAAAAAAAAACCAACAAAATTCACACCTAAATGGAAGATCTCTGCAAGTGAGATCCCAGTGGAAAGAACAGGCCCATCAAAGAAGGAGGTACCTTTCTCTGAAGGGAGGAGAGAACTTCCACTTTGACTATGACCCTGTCGGAATAAGATTGAAGTCGGCAAACTCAAAAGGCTTCCATAGCCTTGGCAACTCATGACTACAGCCTAGGGATATTACTGACGCCATAAGCAAGAGTGTCAAATTGTTAAGTCAACAACAGGAGTCACTGTGTACTTACTTCTCATGTGGGATCTGTCCTTAATGTGTTGTCCAATGTGAAGTAATGCTATAACTAGTACTGAAACAGTATTTTACACTTGTGTTTCTGTGTGGGTGCAAACTCATGAAGTCTTTACTTAATATGTACTGAATCAATCTTCTGTATATAAAGAGAATTGAAAATGAATCTTGATGTGAATGGAATGGGAGATGGAGCGGGAGATGGAGGGATGTGAGTTGGAGGGAAGTTATGGCGGGGGGAAGCCATTGTAATCCATTAACTGTACTTTGGAAATTTATATTTACTAAATAAAAAATAAATTAAAAACAAAAACAAAAACAAGTGCCAAAAAAAATGGAAAAAGAGGCTGAACAGGGGGATAGAGTAATTCAAAGTGAGCAGAATGGGACTGCTAGTGTTGGGTAGAATATGGCTGGCTTTTAGAGGCTGGCAAATGCGAGAAAACAGAGTCTCCTTTAGGGCATTCAGAAGCAGCCATGCCCTCCTTACACCTCGATTTTAGTCTGAGGAGACTCAACACATGCAGCTTCCAAGATTAAACAAGGAAAACCTGATAGTGTTGTTGCACTCCAGTAACTGTGAGTTAATTCTTAGAACAGAATGGAAAAATAATGCACCCTTTGAATATGAGATAAGCTATCAGCAGATTTTCTTTGGATTAAAGAATTCTTCATATTCTTCATAGCATATTTTTAAATTAATTGAAAATGAAGGAAAAAAAATTTTAAAAAGGCTGCTTATAAACTAAAAGGCTGCTTAAATTCTATATTTTCAAAAAAGAAATACCAGTATAAGACACAGGAAGCTTATTAATATGTAAATAGCCTTCATATCTTATGTATGTGGTTCTCAAAAAGATGGGCTATATGACTAAAATTAAAATCAAAATTTTTCTGACTTTGAGCCTCCAAATTTGGTGCCTGATTCCACCAACTGTACATCTTTGCCTTCAAGAGTCCAGGCCTCAGTGTTTAGCAAATACTTATCACCCAGATCTTAGATTGTTTTCCTTTCCCATATTCAGCTTCAATTATTAAATAAATGAGAAGCTGTATTTTACATAAAAAGAGTAACCTTCTCTTGTACTCAGACACCAGATATGTTGAGTGAGCACAGAGAGTTTTACCAAAAAGCCAGACAATCCATACGGAGTTCTTAGCAGGTAGACAATAACCATAGGAGATTTGGAGACAACTTAAGTATCATGTGCCCAAAGTATTCCTATCAAAGACAGATGCCAAACCTGGTTCTATCATGTTTTAAATAATGCAAAGTCTATGAGATTATGGAATTTATATTTAATATTTAAATGCCATACATAAAACAGCCAAAGGTAAGTTGGCAAAACAAAACAAAATGAGATTTTTCTACTTATCGTATTGGACACTTAAGGAGTATGTGCCCTAATAATAATCATTATTAGACTTACTTGATTTAATATAAAATACACAAAAATAGCTGAAAGGACACATCATTCAAATTTTTCTAAATTCTGCTAAATTGAGAAAAAAATTGAAGTTTATTTATATTTGAACAGTAGAGAGACAGAAAAAGGGAGAGATCTTCCATCTCTGTCCATTTTTCGAATGCCTTCAAAGTGTGTGATAAGCCATTCTGAGGCTGGGAACCAGGAACTCCAGCTGAGTCTCCCACACAGGTGCCTAGGACCCAAGTAATTGAGCCATCACCTGCTGCCTCTGAGGACAGACCTTAGCATTAAGCTGGAATTGAGATCAGAGCTGGACTCAAACCCGGGCACTCCAACACAGGATGTGGCTATGCCAAACGGTGTCACACTTGTTGCATCAAGTGTCCACCTCTATTTTAAGAAATTAAACCACTGCTCACTGTGGATCGCATCTTGACCCTTTTTGATCCATTCATAAAGAGAAATGTAATTCCTCAAAACTGTGTCCCATTTCAATTTTCAGTTGATTTAAGACAATCAGACTTCTTTCCATCTGCAACA